GTACATCCTGGACTTTGCTGCCAGGGCTGGACTTGTTGTCATAAACGAGGGCAACACGCCAACTTTCCAGCGTCCCGGAATGAGGGGAACGATCCCAGACATCACGCTTGCATCTGAGTCCCTCTTGCCGAGGATACGAGCCTGGAGAGTCCTAGAGGATTATACGGCCAGTGACCACCAGTACATCATTTTTGATGTCATGGATAGTCATCAGAGACAAGCTACCGTGTCTCGGCAGGTGCCCGTTCGGTGGAACACCAAAAAGCTGGACGTGGCCAAATTCACCGAAGTCATACTACGGGGAGAGCCAGTGGTACCTGCTGCATCCGGCGTGGCTCACGCAGAGACATCAGTTACATCATTGATGAGGCTGATAGTCTCGGCCTGCGAAGAGTCAATGCCTCGCAGGATATCCCGGTGCGATAAGCGACCTGTGTACTGGTGGACAACCGAGATCGCAGAACTACGACGGGCAGCATTGAGAGCCAGACGTCTTGCTACCAGGGCTAGAGAACCTGAAGATAGACGTCTTAAGTCTGACGCTTACAAGGTGGCAAGGAAGTCTCTTCGCCGGGCCATTAACCGGAGCAAACGCAGTTGCTGGGAGAAATTAAGGGACGATGTCGATTCCGATCCGTGGGGCCTTGGTTACAAGATAGTAACCAAGAAGCTTGGCACCCGCTCTCCACCTTCCGTTATGGACGGGGCCTCTATGGAGAGGATCGTAAAGTCCCTTTTCCCGACTCACACACTGCGTCCATTGCGGGAGTTCGGAAGGGTGGACGACGTACCGCTTTTCAGTCTCGAGGAGTTGGAGGCGGCCGTTCTGTCCCTGAAGAACAACAAGGCTCCTGGACCGGATGGGGTACCTGGTGAGGCCCTGAAGAAAGTCTTTTCAATAAACCCACAAATCCTTTTGAGCACGTACAATGCCTGTCTGGCCGAGGGGAAGTTTCCCTTCTGCTGGAAAACAGCTAGGCTTGTGCTCGTGGGGAAGGGAAAAGGAAACCCAGACCTACCCTCCTCTTACAGACCTCTCTGTATGTTGGACACTGCTGGGAAAGTCTTGGAAAAGTTGATCCGTTCCCGACTGAATTCAGCCGTGGTTGCTGCAGGGAATCTATCCCCTCGTCAGTACGGTTTCAGGAAGGGACGGTCAACGGTTGACGCTATTGAGGAGGTAAAGCGAGCCGTAATGAGAGCTGAGGAGTTTAACAACTATTCTCGTCGGGTTGTGCTGCTTGTAACACTTGATGTGCGAAACGCATTTAATTCCGCGAGGTGGTGCGATATGCTCGACGCACTGGAGAACACTTTCCACGTCCCGGCATACCTCATGCGCATGATAGAGGACTACCTCCGGTACCGCCTCATCATTTACGACACTACAGAAGGCTCCAGGACGATGGATGTAACTTCTGGTGCTGCTCAAGGATCCATACTGGGCCCGGACCTCTGGAACGTCGCCTACGACAGCCTCTTGAGATCCGAGATGCCTGAGGAAACCGTCCTAGTTGGGTATGCAGATGACGTTGCGGCTTTAATAGCTGCACGTAGCATTGAGCTTGCCCAGCTGAAACTAAATCGAGTCATGCGAACCATTAACGCATGGATGGCAGAACATGGTCTCTCGCTCGCTCTGAGCAAAACTGAGATTGTCATTCTGACTAAAAAGAGGATTGACACCATCGTGCCTTTGATGGTGGGGAACGTTGAAGTCCAAACCACTCGTGCCGCAAAGTACCTTGGGGTCATGGTGGACAGCAAGCTCAGCTGGCGAGACCAGATCACCCGTACGGCGGACAAGGCCGCTAAAATGGTTTCTTCCCTTAGTCGGTTAATGGCCAATGTCGGAGGTCCACGGTCCAGCCGCAGAAGGCTGTTGATGTCTGCGGTCCAGTCAGTGCTCCTGTACGGTGCGGAGGTCTGGGCAGACGCTCTCAATAAGGAGGTATATAGGATGCGGCTCGCCCGAGTGCAGCGTCAGGCAGCACTAAGGGTAGCATCTGCCTATCGAACAGTGTCCGAATCCGCCGTCCTGGTGGTTGCTGGAGTCATCCCCGTCAAACTTTTGGCGGCGGAGAGGAAGGCAATTTATCAGCGCCGTGGGGAGGACCAGGCAAGTATTGAGGAACGCACCCGGACCTTCCAGCTGTGGCAGGAGAGCTGGGAACAGGAGACAAGGGGGCTCTGGACCAGGCGACTGATACAACAGGTCCAACCTTGGGTTAATCGGCGGTGCGGAGAGGTGAACTTCTACCTCACCCAATTTCTGACGGGTCACGGCTTTTTCCGGTCGTACTTGTTCAGGATGGGCAAAGCCGTGTCACCCGATTGCATATACTGCCCAGGCATTCCCGATGACGTGGAACACACTTTCTTCCACTGCCAGCATTGGGAAAGGCCCCGCCTAGAGGCTCAACAGTTCGTAGGACTGCTGTCGGTGGACACGGTCATACCGATGATGATGGAGGGTGAGGACAATTGGACCTGTGTGTCACTTTACATCCAGGGTGTTCTCCGCGCCAAGAAGCTTGACCTCGACCGGGATGCGGTGTAGGTCAAAAAATAAATAATGCCAGAAACGGTGCGAGCCCTGTGGGCTTAGGTCACATGTTGGCCTGACTTGAAGTAATGTGACAAACAATTCCAGGTCTGTGTCCAACAGAGTAGAGGGGGTTTTTTAGTGAGTAGTCTGTGATAAACTCAGGAGTCTCACACTACAGGCTGGCTACCTGTGTGCGTAAAAGCATTTTCCCTCCTCACCCTAAAAAAAAAAAAAAAAAAAAAAAAAAAAACACTCAAACGTTACTTACTTGTTGTATTGCATGACATTTTACTTGTTCTTCATCATATTTATAAAACAGGTTGTAAAGAACAAAAAATTAAAAATCACTACTCATAATCTCTAGGAGAGGTTATGTTTTGTTTATAACCATTTCTTGTCAAATATAATCAGCTGTACAATAGTACTTAAAGAAACCCAATCTGGTAAAGCAGGGGAGCATCAGCTGTTTTCCAGACACATTCGATTTTCATTCGAATGATATAGATTCGTTAAATTTGGAATTGTTATGTCGTAATGTTATTTTGTTATTTTTGTTGTTCCTAGCATTTCTACGAGCATTGTTGGGGAGCAGTCCAGATCAGACCCTGGTCTAGTTAATAACTTACCAAGACCTGCTGTTAGATAGCACGATGAAATGATAGCAAGTTGTGTGTAAAATAATTATGATTTCCAACCAATGACAACTACACTATAAATTAAGTACTTCTCATTTACCATTCCACGTTAAATCATAAATCTGGCAATTATAATGCAACTCATGTTATTTTTAAATTTAAAACTAACTACATCCAGTCCAAATAGATGGGATGTTTACTTGGGATGTCCAAAAACCAAAGCGTAACGACTGTTACATATCGACGTGTAAACAATAACAAATGAATTCCATTGTGAATTCTCAAGGGCCCGGCTTTGCAGGTCCATCAATGACGAGACATGTGTGGGGCCCGGGGCCCTCGGGACCAATGACACGAGCTGTGATTGGCTGACACACGTCACGTGGTCTTTGACGTCATCAGTCCTCGTCAAGTTGTAACACGTTGACCGTCAATTGTTTTGAGGAAAACGATTTGAGATATAAATTGTATCAATCAAATAAATGTGTGCATGAAAACTAAGCAAATAATATTCTTTTAGTACATGTTCAGCTCCATAGTCATTATTCTCTATAGAGACTACACACTTTAATGGTTTGAGATAGTTCTTGGCCATTGAAATTAAAACTGAAATGAAAGTATCCCAATTAATTCTAAGTTTGTGTTTCACTTCAATTTAAGGTATGAAACTAGGTCGGTATAATTTTAATATTGCAAATTATTGTATTACACCTCCTTACTTAAGTTTCATACATAAAGACGTAGTGAATGCCGATATTTAAACAATGCATAAACTGATCAAAGTCCCGCGTTAGGAATATCAGAAAAAAGTAGTTTTAATTTAAGTGCAAGTATTTTAAAAGTGTGGTTGGATCATGTGATGGTTGGGTTGGATACGATTACATATTACAGTAAATATAATCCCTGATTTAGCATGATGCTTGTAGATTCTTTTGTGCTAATATTAGTGACGAACATTAAACATATATCAAAACATAGTTTATATTTCACATTATGACAAAAGTATACTTGCACTATTCACAGTCGATGGTGCAAATACTGTGTCATAAATCAGGTTAAATAGTTGGATTTCATATAGTATCCAGAATTCGTTTTATCTGAAATTAATAAATCTATTAATTAATACCGTTCTTCGATCTTTACCAGTCACATGTGTTTTTTAATGTGGGTAGTTTAGTTAAAATTAATACTTGTGTCTATTTACACATATTCATCGTGTCAGCTGATGAAAACAAATAAATAGCTTTAAAATTAGTTTCTGTTTGTTAGTTTAGTTTTGAAGTTTTAAATTCCAACTGATATCGGCTTAACTTCGTGAAGAAAACTATTTTCCGGACACCGGTAAGTGGTGTACTTTTAATGAAACATCTACTAACAAAATCGTTTTAAATTACTAGTCTACAACTGCTTATGGTTGTAATGTTAACTTTACATATCTTTGAAAGCAGTTTGGTTAAAATTGTAAAATGTATACAATTGTTTGAAAAAATATTCGGCAAACTCAATAGCTAGGTGATTACGAGTCCTAGACTAACAAATTTGAAATAGTATCCATCGATTGCAAGATTCTGGTTAAACTTTTTAAACTACAATATTGGTTTAGCTAAATGCATAACCTAAAACGTGCATAGAACGATTAAGATTTTGGTGGGAATTACTCACAATCTGTATGAAGCAGGTATTGTAGAAATAATACAATTCTTCGTAATATTACAACCTCATAATATATTTAATTGTATATGTCATTTTAGTGTCAATTTAAAATTATACATTGTGGTTTACATTGATTAGAGTTGATGGTTTTGTATTCCTTGTTAACAGATTTTAGAGTTTCTATCATCAACTTCTAGAGCACCAGAAGACTGATATGTCCGGTAATTTCGTACGTGGAAAGTGAGTATAAAACTTGGAACGGAGAATATCAAATTATTAATCTCTATTGTTAAGATCTATAAAATAAATATGGTTAAGCTTTCCTAACCAAGTCATTTTGAATTTAAATACCCCCGTCGCAGCAAACCTGCAGACTAAGCGAATTTCCATTTGCCTGATTGGATTTACACTAAAATATATCACATTTATTCCCTATTTAAATAGAATTTATTTAAATAGAATAGAATTACAATTTTTTGGAATTTTCTCCGTAACCATTAGGCGCACAACAACGCTTCAATATACAAAATTATTTGTTTTTTTTAAGCTTTACAAGATGGTTTGGAAAGAAATTGTGAAATTTTGTGTTTTTAGGGTCGAAAATGGGAAAAACCTATTTTTACCCCATAAAACCCCCCCTAAACCCCCGTTCCCATAGTCCGATCATGCTAGTTCGCGAACTCGTTCGAATAAATGTAGGTTTACAAGTTTATACCAAATTTCATTAAAATCGGATCATTTTTGCTCGAGTTATCGTGCTAACGGACATATATATATATATATATATATATATATAAATATATATATATATAAATATAAATATATATATATATATATGAATTTTAACGGATGGTGTTTTTGGTGTTTGGACCTCAAAACGAAAAAGTAAATTGGTCCCGGGTCCAGGTCTTACCATGAGTACTACGGTAATAGCTTGTTCCCTATATGGGAAATCCGCTAAAAATAGTTTACTTTTGTTAGGGAAATGTTTGGTTTGAGTAACCGTCAATAACGCACAAAAGTAAATTGGAGTAAGGTGTATTTATGATATGAAACTATCTTAAGACTTCTGTATATGTGTGATTTTAAGGTTTTCTTTTGTTTTTATTTTTTTTTTATTTTGCCAATCAATCAATCGATCAATCCAAATTACACAGTGACGAACACTCAAGGTCTAATGTTTAGCTTGAGCTGAATGCAAGGGAAGGGAATGACATAATCTGAGTGTTTATGTTACTCACTAAGACTAGCTGCTCATTTAGGATTATTTTAAACCACTAGTAATTAAGAACGTCTTGGTCCAGGTTCGAACTATCGAAAACCGAAGCTCATCTCATTGAATTATTTGGTTCTATAACCACCATAACCACCATCACGAAGCTAACAATTTACAGTTAAGTGCAAGAAGAGTATTTGGAAAACAATTATAACAAAATGAAACATTTTTGGGGGACATGTTCTCTTTCAGCAAGCACAGAATCCGATCCGTGTTTCCGTGATCCGTGTTTACAGATATTTCAATAAATGGTAATTTAATTTATATATTTGTATGCCACATTTCTAAATCCGCTGAATCTAATTTTTGTTGTTGTTTATATTTCCAGATACGACTTTAGGTCATCAGATGATCAGACTACTTCGGACTTGTCATCTTCAGAAGACAAACCATCCTTCCCCTTCCAGCCGACCCCGAGCGGCAACCTTAAAGTGGTCCCTCAACAGGTTTATAATAAATTTAAAGCTCCCTGTTTTTGTTTTACCTTTTTTTAATTTTCTTCTTAAAAAATATTTTTTTGAAGAATACATCTAAATATATACCTAGAAGTGTTTTAGTCAGCGACTAAAATGGGTGAAAACAACTTATAAGGTAGTTTGTGATATTTTGTAAATATTAGGTACTAATCCATTATTTAATTGACCTAGGCTATATAGATTTGTTTGGATTCTGGTAGATACAAATAATGCCATACATAATTGTGTAAATCCGTAGTATCCAAGAAATCAATATTCGTTCAATATTTGAATCAGCTTCAGCAATCCAATTAAATGTTAAACAGATTTCTCACTATTATGCCTATTATTTTAATACCTGGTAAATATTGTGTAGCTATTAAATTTTAAAACACATATTTTATATTTAGTCAGTGTAAAGTAATGGGAACTTTATTAGTTATGTAACTAACCTTTTGTAGGTATTTTGTAAATACTTGTAAATGTCGATAAACTGAACAGAACTTCTCGTCTAAAGTTAACAAAACCAATGCCTTGAAATAAAATACACAAATACAAAACTGGTGTTTTGTTTTAACTGATGTTTTATTGCAAGAACAAATTATGATACACCATATGGTGTACGAATCAATCATAACATTAATAATAACATAACCTGTAGGTGACACAAATTTCAAAAGTATCTTCAAGCCAAAATTTATTTATGTTAGTAAAATTTGGATATCGCTTTTGAGTAAGTAGGACCATCTGCTACTTCAAGTAGTATTTTAGGTAAGTACTGCACAATGAAAGTAAGTCGTACTTATATTAGGCTATATTAAAGGTTCTACGTTGTTGAAACAGAGGGATAAAATTTAACAGGTTGATGGTTCGAAAGTGAATCAATATCAACATAATTTATAATTTTTAGGTGGTTTACGAGTCAAAGCAGTTGAGTATCGTAGCAGCAGATCCTCAAAGGACCAAAGTAAACATAAAGCCTGACAGTCGAAATCCTATCAAAGACATGAGTGGAGACAGGACTACCTTCCCGGTAAGTTTAAATATAATACTGTTAAAACAATGATGTGATGATTTAATCTTCCTATGGATTTTTATGTACGATCAATACGAAGTATGGATACTTTTCCATTTATCATAGAGAAAGCTCGTCTAACTTAAGAGGTAGAGCTTTTATAATTTGTGGATACATATGGAGTTGTCGATCGTGGTGGGATCTAACTATCCTGTTAGTTTAATTGGTTATCAAAGGAAATTGAACTTGGTCACTGTTCAGGACAGATTAATGTTGCTTATAGCTACGATCCATCAACACTAAAAATACGTGTCGTAACAACAGGTTGAGAAACATACCCGATTCTTAAAAGTTAAACTAATACGTAAAGATGCACATATGCTTTCATCTGTCTGTCTAATAATTCTATCTATAACAGACACGTATATAGAATATACTCTATCTGTGACTGGGTAAAGATGAATGTTGACGTTTTCTTTTGTCATTGGACTACATTTTCGATGATGCCACCTGTTACATAACCGTTAGATGGGAACAACTCGCGATAGTCCAAAAGCTCTGAAATGTCGATTGCGACGACAGGGAAAGGCACAATCCTATCGAATGCTTTTAGAAAGACTAGAAAGGTAGGTAAAACACTAACTGTGTTTTATATAAACACTATTTAGTTGGCGGTATTTTGTTTAACCTTGTATTTACCAGTCTAACATGAGCGTCGAACCTGTCCGTGGAGCGTATGTAGAAAATGAGTGAACCAGTACAATTCAAGAAACCAAACAGTACTGGAGTGCAAACTCGCGATACTGCTCCATAAATTTGTAGTCCATCGACATAATAATACAACAAAGAATAATTACTTTTGTTCCAGGCGGAGTTATTCTCTAAGATGCCTGCAAGAACATCCGGACAAGACGTCTTCGACCACAACCGCGGCGACCACAGAGACACCTGCACTGTGGCCCAACTGCAACACGAGATAACCCTCAGCAAGATGGGCTTCAGCCAGGGCCCGCCAATCGAGTGGACCAAGGTGCAACTCCCGCCAAAAACCGACCTCCACGACCTCATACACTATCAGATCGTCAACGGAGTCAACCCCGACGTGACCGTGGTGGTGGGTGACAAGGCGTTTCGTTGCCACCTGCTGGTGCTGCAGTGCTACTCGGCGCTGTTCGTGGAACGACCCACGGCCCGGATGGAAGTGGAGGAGGCGATGGTGACAAGCAACGCGTTCTCGAGTATATACGACTGGATGCTGCACCTGGGCAAGGACAGCTACTCGCTCCTCAGGCGGGACAACATTCTGGAGATCTTCGTGGCGTCACAGTACTTCAAGATTAAAGGTTGGTAATTTTTTTTGGGAGAATCTAAGTTTCGTTTTGGGTTGGTTAGTAGATCCTCAATGGATGGTGATTGGTGATATCAAAGAAAAGATTAACCCCTAATTGTATACCTGGCTCGAGCGGTTATAGTGTGTAATTAGCAACACTAGTTCGATCCTGAGAAAAGTCTGATCGTTTATGATTTTTGAAAAGTGGACCCAGCAATCCGGAACCTTTTGATAAATAGTCCTGGCTACAGAAAAAATATGTTCTTCATCAACCTCTCCACTTTACTCGTAACAACATGTTCAGCTTTAAATACATGCACAAGTAGTGACGTACCGCTTATTAGTAAGGCGATTGAGTAATTTTAGGAGTTCAGTATTGAACCTATAGTTCACGAGTAGTGTCTAGATTTTCTTAATTCTGGAGATTGTTTAACAGAGCTGGAGGAGCAGTGCTGGGCGTTTATAGACAACGAAGAGTTGTTCTCCGAAGACAAGGCGTTCCTGTTGTACCTGGACGCTCGCGCCGCTGGGGTCGGCGCCGTCATGGAGTTGATGGTGCCTCGCGTCCAGAGGTTCTTCCTGACCCTCGTCTCCAGTAGGGACTTCCTGGAGATGTCGGAACCCGAGGTGTGCGTCTTCTTGCGATCCAACTACATCTGCATCCATTGGTAAGCTTCTGTTCTTGGTTTCTTTACTTCTACAGAGAACCACTGTAGGTTCAGCAGTGAACTAAGCAGTACTGAGTTGGCTCTAACACTTTAATCAGTTTAAACGTTATGGAAAAAACTTGTAATGTATGAGAATAATTAGAGCTTAGTAGCAAATGAGGCGGATAGGTAATGGTAAAAGTAAAATAAAATCACAAGACTATATAAATTGACTATACTGTGAGCAAACGTGGATTCACCGCCAGGGTGTATTTTGAAGTTTCTCGAGATATAATGGTCATCAGTCTCTGATGGGAGCAAGTCAGATGGCTTTCTGGCCATGTTGGTATTCTCTGAGCAGAGGAAATAGCCTACGAACTAAGGATTCCCTCTCAATCTTTAAACATATATGTAGATTCGGATATACATTGCCTAGGAGCAAGCTGTGACAGATGAAAATTATGTTAGTTGCGTCTGCAGCCGATAGGACTTCAGCCAAAAGAGAATCTGACTTTAGGGAGAACATTATTTGCGGCTATAACGTGGAACAGGTTCAGTATAGTTTCACCTCGACACCTTTATTTGTTACAGCGAGATGGAAGTTTTCATGTCTGCAGTCAGGTGGCTCATGTACGACTGGGAGAACCGTAAGGAGTCCCTGGTTGAGGTGATGAAGTGGGTGAGATTCGGTCTGATTCCACCTTGGCAACTAGTCGACATCCGTAGAAACCCAGACAATCAGGAGTTTCTGTTGATTACGAGGAACCAGGAAGTGTCTAGGATGATCGAAGATGGTTTGGCGTGAGTAAAACTGTTAAATAACATTTTAGCAAAAGTTGAAAGAGAACAAAACTTAGTAAATAATAGTGTAAATATGCACCACAAAATAGATGGAATTGGGTGGGTTAATGAGCAAACTTTCATTGCAATAAATTATGATAATTTTTCAGGGGAAATATTAAATATAAAAATCCTGCATAATTTAATAGTTTTTCTATGAACACCTAAAAAGACACACTCATATCTTTCTTCCAGAAACTAAACGCAGATAATTCATTTTCATATGAATTTCAAACAACATATTGAACTTCACTCAAGGACATTTATTACCGATGGTATAATGTTCTGAGATACAATTTACCTGTTAAGAACCTTTTTAAAATGTGAACTGAAAAAAGGTATTTAATAGAGAAAGTCATTTAAAGGACACAAAGGCTCTGTTGAGCGTAAAGGGAACAAATAGTAACTAACTTAAGGTGGTAGGTAAAAACATTGTATTCAATCTATTGATCAGCGTTCACGCACAACCCAAAAAAATCACCTATCATTTTCTAATGATGAATAGTATCTCCATGCTTAATATACAAGTTTTATATATATTTTCAGCTACGCGATTATCAAATACTGGTACGGCCACGACAACAACGAGTACAGCCACTGGTGTGAAAACCTGGGCCTGACTGAGCCGGCCGAACGAAACTGGGCGGGAACCAATAAGATCAACGACCAAAAGGTAGGCATGGGCAAAATATTACCTCAAATTATAAGTTTTTAAGACTTATTTTAAGGTTAGCTCGTGGAGTGGTAATGTAAGAGAAACATACTAAATATGTATAATAAGTACAACTTTCATTTATTCACCTTATTAACTATTTTCCTGACTTCTTCTCCACTCCTAAAACTACTTCGACTTAGAGCCCCAAGTTGTACAAGATCATTTTTGTACAATGCGGGTCTAAACAAGAATATTTCTTCGAGAAAATCTGGAACCTAAACAATTTGTAAATATAGCATTCGTCCAATCATGAGTGACTATCAGTGAGATCCCAGCACAACGACAATGACGCCTTTCACATCACCTGGACAGGACTTCTGGACTGCTGATAATGACATGCCATGCACGGCATCCTTTACACCTAACCAAATACTATATATGGTTAGTAAGAAAGGGTTTAGAGATTGTCAAATGGAAGAAATCTTCTAAAACATTGTATAAATCAAAACATATCCTCATCATTTCAATATTTTGACTCGTGGACACAGTGTTGCTATAAATAAGTCAAGAAAAGAGTTGTTATTTTAAGCGTTCGAATTCGTCGATCTTCAATATTTCAAATGCTATTTCCATATGCTTGGTTTTGATGATTCAGTTTGTTATTGTGCACCCCCAGATAAAAATATGAGGCCACAAACTTTATAAAACTCTTTACATTTCTACTGATTCGGATGGTCGAGTTTGTGATAGTTTAAAGTACTTTGTATCAATCTTCAAGGGTGCAATTACTTTACTTATATTTGCGTTTGCTGTTGTGGTTTGCAGAAGTACAATACATACCAAGAGTTCTTGACGGATTTGGTGAAGTATAGACAAATGCATCTACTTTCAAATAAGGCCCAAGAAAAGAGAAGGGACAGCAAAGATTCCCTCTTCTCAGAAATGGAAAACGCCCGCAAACTGCAAAGAAACTCTGAACTCATACTGCCTCAGCAAAGACACTGATTACAACCACCGTGATGGCGAATCTTAGATGCGGAATCTAAAATTTCTGTAACTGTATTTACTATCGAAATAAATTATGGAAATAAAAACTTTGCATTAAAATTCAAAGTGCCTGATTAACCTAATACCGCTCGGTATTATTATTTGTTTGTGATTATTTATGTACTGTTGGATACAAATTAGCATACGGTACTTATAATCTTATCAATTAATTGACAGTATAAATTTAAAAAAAAATCTTTGATCTAACTAGTGTTTTCTAATACATCATGAAGTGTTTTCACAGGTCGTCTATCATAAGTAAGGTTTTAATGAATTAGCGGGCATGTGTACAAACCATGAATACTGTACTAGGAAAGACTCGGTATGGATCATAAACATAAATAAATGACGCTTTTGGCCCGAAAGTAAACAAAACCATATGTTAATTAATACTATTGATATAGGGGGTTTGTTTATGTTTATGAACCATACCGGTATTTTTGTAGTATTCATGCTACAAACTATATGTTGATAATATTTCAGCAGTTACTATTTAAATAAATAAATAGTAAAGTCTTACCTTAGCAATCCTTGTTATGGTGGTCCGATATTAATTTCAAACCCGTAGGTTCATCATCAGTCGGAAGTTTAGGTAGACCAAATTTTTGTTATAAAATCCACCCGATGGGTTTCGTAGAAATGTTGACATTTAACACGAAGACACACATTACAGTTGACATAAATAATATACGTAGTTTAGGGATAAAAACCATGGTTTTATAAAACAGTGGGATAACCTCACTTCAGTCAGGGAACACGCTGCCGGCAGAACTGTCAAAATTTAGTCAGATTGTGGGTTGAGGTTATGTTGACATTTTTTGACTACGGAATGAAAAAACATATGATGGATGTATTTGGATTGATGCGGCTAGGTGTCTGATTGATTATTTGTTCTCAGAAGTGTATCAAAAATTATGTTTGCTGAGAAATTACGTTGGTCATTGAGGACTTCAGACGGGTTGGATTTAGTATTGCTGTATATATGGAATTGTTCGATTATGTCCAGCTTGTTGCTTTTTGGGCCTTTATGTAGGATTTCTAGGTCTTGGTCTATGGTCGAATATGAGTGCATATGATTTATAAGATGCTCAGCGTATGTGGACTGGTTGGTATTGGAATTTCTGGGAAGGTGTTCTTTGTATCGGGTTTTGAAGCTTCGGCCTGTTTGGCCAATATAATACTTAGGGCAAGTGGCACACTTGAGTTTATATATCCCCGAAGCTTCATAATCGTTTACTCTGCTATGCTTTGGTTTGTTGAGGATCTGGGTTAGGCTGTTTTTTGATCTGTAGGAAATTCGGTAACCTTTGTTACTTATGATGTTATGGATGGAATTGTTAATTCGGCCGTGGTATGTCATCACAACAAATTGGTTCTGGGGTTTAGGCCGTTTATTCCATCCATAACATCATAAGTAACAAAGGTTACCGAATTTCCTACAGATCAAAAAACAGCCTAACCCAGATCCTCAACAAACCAAAGCATAGCAGAGTAAACGATTATGAAGCTTCGGGGATATATAAACTCAAGTGTGCCACTTGCCCTAAGTATTATATTGGCCAAACAGGCCGAAGCTTCAAAACCCGATACAAAGAACACCTTCCCAGAAATTCCAATACCAACCAGTCCACATACGCTGAGCATCTTATAAATCATATGCACTCATATTCGACCATAGACCAAGACCTAGAAATCCTACATAAAGGCCCAAAAAGCAACAAGCTGGACATAATCGAACAATTCCATATATACAGCAATACTAAATCCAACCCGTCTGAAGTCCTCAATGACCAACGTAATTTCTCAGCAAACATAATTTTTGATACACTTCTGAGAACAAATAATCAATCAGACACCTAGCCGCATCAATCCAAATACATCCATCATATGTTTTTTCATTCCGTAGTCAAAAAATGTCAACATAACCTCAACCCACAATCTGACTAAATTTTGACAGTTCTACCGGCAGCGTGTTCCCTGACTGAAGTGAGGTTATCCCACTGTTTTATAAAACCATGGTTTTTATCCCTAAACTCAGAATATTATTTATGTCAACTGTAATGTGTGTCTTCGTGTTAAATGTCAACATTTCTACGAAACCCATCGGGTGGATTTTATAACAAAAATTTGGTCTACCTAAACTTCCGACTGATGATGAACCTACGGGTTTGAAATTAATATCGGACCACCATAACAAGGATTGCTAAGGTAAGACTTTACTATTTATTTATTTGATTATATAAGCAATCCAGAGGCTGAAATGATAGAGTTACTATTTGCTATTGGTGTGTGATTTCCGTTATACTTTACAGATATCACGGAATGGGCACACGGGAGGGACTAAGGCTAAAGGTGTAGTGACGTCATATCTCTAGTGGCTAATGTCTACTCTTGAGGATATCAGCAAGTTTGGTTGGTTAGGTTAGGTTATGACAGTTTAATTTTATAATACTAAATTTTAAAATTAATTTAATAATTAATTAAAAATTATAAATAATCATTAATTAGATTTTTATCTTATACAGTTTTTATATGATCAGCAAGTCTGGTTGGTTAGGTTATGTTATGACAGTTTTATTTTAAAAATTAAAAATTTATTTTATAATTTTAAAACAATATTAAAAAGTTAATTTTATAACTAAAAATAAAAAAATTAATTTTTTCAACTTAGCGGTTCTAGCGGCGAACGCTGACACTACAAGATATGTTAGCCTTAGTCCCCCCCGTGTGTCCCACCGCAGATATCAACTGTATTCAACAGCTGATTCATTTGTAAACATTTTATTCATTAATATCGATGAGGCATTTAAACTTTATCAATCAATCAATCAATCAATTATTTAAGATGGGGACGCCACTAGGTGCGTATTGTAACCCAAATATGACTACAGATACTACTATAAAATAATACTATAAAAAATATACTATAAAATAGATAAGTTTACACTAGCATAACTATGTAATCCTAAATTGTTTAGATACATCAAAATAAGCTAGTGCATATAAAATAATCGCACGTTTAAGAGTAATACGTATGAATGTGGAGTGTTGACGATTTAAAAACATGTTTACATGAGTATAGTAAATAGATTTATTTTACAAAACACTCAACATGTATAAGCCCAACGTACAATCACGTGTAGGAAGATACAATAACATAGATGATAATCCAGTCCGCTTCAGCTACGCTCCTATCTCGATCGTCAAACTTTAGCAGTTTTATTTCATAACTTTTCCCGAACTGTCGCTTTAATGAAATTTGTTTCGAATTCTCTTCTGGTCCACTCTTGCCGGCTGTTAATATTAAATAAGATCCATTCTCCTCCCTAAATATCGATTTTGATATCTGCCTCGCATGGAAATACCTCAATGAGATGCATAAACGTTTTGAATGAAACTTGTACCTGTCGGGGCTTTTATAAAAATAGCTCAAAAGTAATGGTCTGACTTAATAAGTTCATATGCACTTCTACTGAGAGATTTTTTTATTTGTCACTTTACCGTGTAATTACATTAATACTTAATCACGCTGACTTAGATGCACAAGAAATATATACTGTAAATGAGAAGAACAATAACTGAGCGCGACGAACAGAAAAAAGAGTTATTGAAATTAATATAGAAATTAACTATATATATTCATAAATATACGACGTATGTAGAGTGTTTTTTATTCACTACTTGTTAATTATTTTAATCAACATTAAACAATTTTATCAGTTAAAACTATAAAACTATTTACAAATGTTACTTGTTCTTTGAAATTATCACTTGTTCATAAAACATACACCCTAAAACAGGATTAAAATATAACATTTAATTGTATGAAAAATGTTCTTAAAACATTCAAGAGTAATTTTAACGTAGGACAAACACACAACAATGTAAACAATAAGATTACTTTACTTATACAATTCTAGGTGCAAAAGTCACTTGTGACATCCAAAGAAACAACAGTACACTAGTTCAGACACGAATAGTTCTTTTTATTTCCGGTGGATCGGTGTTCCCCACTTGGAAAAAGTTTTAACCCATTCAGTCAAAACTCGTGTTCTGAAAACCGGATATTAGAACTTGCAGTCGAATGGAATAATTAAAAGTTGAAAACTACGAGACATCGGCGCACGCGACTGTTTGTGTCAACATCTTGCTTAGGTCTGGTTCATTTCAGTTCACCTAGTTTAATTTACAACTCAAATTTTATAGTTTTCTTTCAGAAAATATAATTTTAATTAATTTTAAGTTCTCAAATATTTTTAAACTTGGATCTTTATATCCTGTTAGAAGTTATTGCCAGTGTGCTCACAGGGATACTAACGACACTGAATTGACTGAGTTGCTAACCTACTGGCATAGACAAACGACAGTACTTGTCAGCGATTAGCGTCTCGGACTTACGGTGCTAGAGATACGAATTCGATTCCTGATGCATCTCGGACTTACGGTGCTAGAGATACGAATTCGATTCCTGATGCATCTCGGACTTACGGTGCTAGAGATACGAATTCGATTCCTGATGCAGGAATATGGGGTTGCACGTTCTCATGTTTAGGCATTAAAGGGTTTTGGACAGCTTTACCTTACCAAGCTCACCAAGTTCTCAACTCCTTCAAGAAAAAGTTCAACAAAATATTTCACTATCCGATGGAAGAGGTATTTTGATGTATAATGTTGTCAACAATGTGGCCGGCTTAGCGTGTCTAACAAGTTGGCATCACTGCTTCCTTCTGTCTCCACCATGTCTCAATCACTGTTTAAAAATGAATCACGTCAAAGATTCACTTTGTTTAAAATTATTCATTTTTATTTATCAGTTCATTTTTTCTTTGGTTGCATTTGAACAGCTTTGGGGTTTAATTTGTATATAAAGTCATTAATTTAATTTTTTATTCGTATATGTAAGAGGGATTAGCAAAATCATCTATCTATTGTTATAAAATTGAGGTGGTGTCTGTCTGTCTGGACAGCTGACGAGACTAAAATACTAAACGGATACAGCCAAAATTAAGCACAAGGAATGTCATAGGTTTATTTAATACCATGAGTTCCCCTCGGGCTACGCCCCTTAGATGCTCTCAAGTTGTCTACGTAAATCCATTAAAAGCCATCAAAAATCGAGGTTGTGACGATGATGTCGTGCCGGACGAGACCGACCCAACTCCGCGAGAAGGAACACAAATAAATCCACGACGGGCACGGAATAGTTTATGTCAAAAATACGAATATCACAAGAAATACGGACCAAAGTTGAGTAATTAACTGAGGAACACGGACCGAGGAACACGCGACCCCGACAATCCTGCAACTTTCTCACGACTTGAATGTTTTGTTAAGATTGGTACAAAGTGTGCCAAGTCTTCCTCCAGTTGATCGTTTACAATTAGAGAATTTGGAGCAAGGTGTATATTTTTTTAGTTAGTTGTAGAATTGTTTTAGAAGTAAGTTGTTACGGCAATTATAAGTAACAGTTATTATTATAGTCAGTAGTTTTGGTGGATTTAAACTGGACCAAATTATAGAATTTTTGGGGTTTTACTAATAATTTTACTATTTGAGGAAACACAAAATAATTTCCACACACACACACATTACAAAGCTATAATCATTTATTCAACACTGATCCCTAACTTAACACACGTTCTTCATAAAATACACGCCTAGTGGGTCGGCAAAGTGTAAATCTTAATCTGATCAAAGGAAAAATCTCAAACGAAGATGCGGAGGAAGCTGTCACATTTCAACCTGAACATGAGAAAATTGATAAAGAAGTATGTAATAATTGTGTAGGTTTGTAACTAAAACCAGCTTCTTCTTTGTCACCATTATACTAAGCTTGATAACAACGCTTAATCGACCACATTAACCAGTTAGCTATGAAATTAAAGAGGCTTCTTTAAAATCTGAAAGTCATCTATTGACCAACTTTATTGTCTTTTCGTTACCTGGCCATAGGAAAGCTTTACTAAAGCAGCCTGTCGCCAGATGTATCGTAGTACTAGGCTAGTATTTAGATGTTACGCCATTAGCATTTTTTACGTTTTTAAACGGAAACTGTGCAAACCCTGGTCTGGTCTGGTTACAATCTAACGACTTTTTTTATTGATAACTATGCTTCCTAACATGCCTTCGTTACCTTAACAAAACTAAACTTTGAACCTTTCCCTGTAAAAATTCCGTATACGTTGGCAAATCATAAACACTGATTTTTACATCATAATTAACGTCACCCTGTAATCTCTAAGCCTAATTTTAATTTCGCCAACCCCTCGGTATTCTATTGAGATTCGGAACGTGACAGGCTCGCGGGTAGACGTCGGTTATATTAATTACCTCCAGTCACAGAACGGTAAAGGCCCAGTTTGTCGTCCCTATGACTTGATCGTAGTTAAGGGTCGGCTGTCACGGAATCACTTTCTCTCGTCAGCGACATCTTGACCTGTCTCCGCTACTTGACAACCAACGGATTGTTTACGGGTCCGCGACACGCATTTGAAGGCTGATTGTAAACTTGAGGTATTTGCGAAGTAGGTGCAGTAAAATAGAAACAGTCAATGTATACATGTAATAAATATTGATTAATCGTTTTCGGTCTTTCCAGAAGAGGACCGCCACTTTTTGTGTGAAATAACCACAGTTCAGGTTAGGTTAGGTACTTTTACATCTTTACTCACACGTCTTTTTCTATTTAATGAACATAAATAACCACAAAAACTTAAAATCTCCAAACTTATTCCACAGTTTAAATAGTGGTGTCCCTCTTCTGAAAAATACTCATTTAGTTACATTTTGTAAGGGAATGCATTTAAAACTAAAGATAAACTATCGTGACTGATGCATGGATCATCGTGAATTAGTCAGTAACAAAACTACACAGATTACCCCATTCTAAACCACTTTACGTTCACATTCTACTTAAAGAAGAGTTTAAAAGCGAGTCGCTGTCTAGGTTAGGCCCTCTTCCTATAAACGATTATCAATTTACAGCTAAAACGGACGTAGTGATGACAAATTAACAATTTCTGTTAACGGTAAGAATAGTAATGACTATCTACTTATTTTCAGATGTAATTTTAGAGCCCCATACGTCCGATTTACTTTCCTCATCTTCTGGAGGGAAAGAACAGTTTACCTTAGTTTTCAACAGCGTTCTTGGCGTGATTGTAGCCAGTTCAAGTCCCTATTCGTCGAATTCCGCCCCGGAAATGAACAATTACGGGTGAATTGCACAACTTTGGATCATCCCGCCGAGCGCTCTTTACAGTAAAACAAACAATCGGAGGAATTTTATCGAACAAAATATATACAAAAGTCCTTCTTGTATAGATAAATCATCAAACTTGTCATACCTCAACTACTATGACTATTTCTTATACAGTATTAAATACTTTAAACGGCTATATTATAAATCATACCAATGGGGACA